CGGCGAGGGGCGGCGAGGGGCGGAGGTGGAGATAGCGGGTGTGGTGGCGGCGGTGACGGAGTCGGCACCAGCGGAGGAGGCGGCGGCGGCGGCGGCACGCGCATTCCTTGACCTCCGACCCCTCGGGAAGCGCCTGGCCGCCGCGACGGTGCTGCCACCTTCGGGAGAAAACGTGGAGGCAGCCAAGGTCTGTCACGTCGGGCGCTCGCCGGCCGGCAATCTGCATCCCGAGGGCAAATCTGACAGAGCCAAAGGGGGAGAACTAGGGACGGAATTTATTGTAAAAAAATCGCAACTGATGTCCGGGAACTAACGAAATTTCGCGCATTTCGAGAGGCTGTGAAAGTGTTAAAGCAACTAAATTCTCGTGAATCTCGAAAGACATTTACATGGTGCGCTAATAAATCTTTATTTTATAGACGTAGAGTAGATACTTTCTTTAGATCACTCGGCTCGGCTTTGCTTCTTTATTGAGCAATAACCTTTTGTCCCAAAGATGATTAGTACCTTTGTTTAGTCTACATATGAAGATTCTGTCCAGTATTTTCCATGCCGGAAAGGACACAGAGAGAGGTCTGTAGAGTCAACATCCAGATTATTCGTTGTTTTTTATTCAACCCTCATTTGCATCCTTCCATACAGGATAAAATTTGATTATCCATCTGACAAAACCAAACTCAGAATGTCATTGCGTGTATATATGTAATATTGAATTTTTGTTTGTATATTCTAATATCATTATATTTATTTTCTTTAATAGTAGGAAATCCTTTCAAACTCTTTTACAGCAATAGGAGGTTCCATTTCAGTGATCACAGAAGGTGAGTCAATTTCACTTTTTTCTGCAAGCTGACTGGATGTGTTTTCAAATAGAGTATCGTCATTAATAACTTATGTGTTGCTTTGATGCTTAACAACAATTAGTTAATTGTTGTTAAGCCACTCAATGAAGTTATTTGTGGAGTGAGGAACCCCCTGCTATCGTAATTGGTAGCACACGGTTCGTGTTGTGCATCATCCGTATTACCAATACGTATTACCTCTTTTCTACTTTGATGATCAGATAGCATGGCTGGTTTTACTATTATCGTCGTCAGGATGAACGAAGTTTGTTCTTCTGATTCTGCTGAATGTTTCGATCGTTCTTTCTATTACTGCGATGTCATGGAGAACTATTCAGGGAAACTCTTGAGGTACGTCTGTAATAAGGCACTTGCGAAAATCGACATCTCTAAACCCTGGTGGCAAGAAGGGGGTACATCTTTATCGTTGTGGCAGATGGCATTGGTGAACTGTACTTCTACTTTTTGGAGAAATACGAATCTACTTTTTGGGAAATTCCTTCATGTTTTCGGTTTGAATGAAGATAATAACCTCCAAAATAGCACGTATTCCGCTATTTTCACGTTTGAAAAAAATAATGTGAGGATCTTGAATAAGGGGAGAATCATGTATCAAATTATAAAAGAAAATTCTGTCTAGTATTCAAAAACATATTCTGAAAAAAAACTTACATGATCTATCTGTTCTTACCAGTCCGTCCATGTCCTTCCTGCTGTGAAGACGTCTTTTCGGAGCACGCCGGTATCGTCTGCAGGCCGTTTAGAAGCAGGTGGTCGTCTGATGCATATTTCCCAATTTCCGCATCACACTATGAAAGCAGTAAATATTGGTATATGAATTCCGCATCACACTATGAAAGCAGTAAATATTGGCAGTAAGTATTGGTAGATAAGTATTCTTTATTTTATTCTATATATTATTTTTGTATTCTATTTGACTTATTTATTGTAGTTGTAGACGATTTATTAATTTATTTTATTCTATTAAATAATTTTTAATATATTAGTCTTCTAAATAGTGAAGCTACTTTCAAATCTCTTCATGCTACTTTAAAACCCCGTAATAATTTAGTGCTTTACCTTTCAAATCATCCCTAATTGTCTACTATATTTTCCCTAGGGCTTTAATCCAATCGACAGCCGGTTGCCCTTTTGTGTTCTGGTGGTACACATATTCGACCATACGCAAGACACCAGCACACAAGTGGGCTCCTCTGAGCTGAGCTCAACAGAATGCGAGTCCTCATCCACAACACATACATGAGAGACTTAGGACCATGCCCAAAGTAGGACTCGAACTCAGGACCATTCGGACCGAAGTGCTGAGTCGGTACACGCTGTTAGCCACTTTGACCATCAAGGGCGGCTCTAGATATCTACTTGCTGCCTCTTGTTATACCAAAATCATCGCGCAGTTGATGCGGGTTTGAAGCGAGCTCTTGAGTCAGAGACCTTTTTGAATAATCATTGCCTCAACTTTGAGTAGTGGCAATAGCTACTAGTGGGTAAGTGGCTACTAGTGACTAAGAAGTGGGAAGAATCAATGGTCTTCAATAAAAATGTGATTGCTTCTTTTGAGAAAAATTGAAGATCGTGATTTTGAAACTCAAACTTTGAAAACTAAGGTGGGTCTGAAGACAGATCAACTTGAAATGTATAGTAAAATAAATAAGAAAACACAGACGATATTGCTGTAGCTGAAAAGATGTGTTACCCTGTCCATTAATGTCATTAATTCAAGCCATGGAAAAATGACTGAAAAATTAGGCAAACCGGCCGAAAAAAACAGGCCAAATGACGGAAAAACACAGGCCAATTAGACTGTTATACAACAATAATAAAAATATTTTTCCCGAATGAAATATGTGTGATTTATATAGAAATCTATCTCCTGAATTTATATCTGTAATCAGTTACTTTCTATTAGGTAAAGTTTTTAACTTTTAAACAAGTTCTTTATAAGCTTTTTAGGCAAATTATGATAACAATTATTATCTAAAATTGTTTTTAAAATTGTAACGGATCATTCCAATCATAATAAAACTAAAAGCAAGTATAAACCTGTAAAATTCAAACATATTGTACCAAAAAACTTATTTAAAGACAAAATATAACAACAAAATCATCTCTCCCTTGAGAAATTCGAAAGCAAATATTTTTTCCTTGTGATCACATTTGCTCTCTCAAATAATGTTGTAATCATTTGTATCTTTCAGAAGTTCTCGTATTGGGACTTGCAAACATTCTTTCTTTACTTTTCCAGCCGAAAGGGGATGATATTATGGTAAAAGATAAGAAAGATAATAAACCCTCTTCTACATGGATTCAAGGCTTATACAAACTGTTTCATAAGACCCAGGTTGATGTAAAGTTGGCCAGAAGAACATCATCACTGGCTACCAATTTATCTGTTACAATTACTTTTTCTCCAACGTTCTATGAACGTTATGGTCAATATTTGTTTTGTAATGAGAATTTATGTCGTGTCCATCCCACCCACAGAGAAAACATTTATATTTGGTGTAGCCATGTAGCATTCCCAATATAACTCAAAATATAACTAAATTTAACAACTCAAAAACTGTACGTGATGGCAAATTTCCAATTCTAGATTTTAATATTTCATCTCGAAACCTTTAGAAACACAATAAGTCGACTTATAAAGATATTGATCCTTGTAGAACAGTATTTATGTTTGAAAGTTACAGGAAGCGACGAGAGGTCGTCTAATCGAAGAGGTAACTGAACGAACAGATTATCACCGCTCGTGCGGGCCTGGTGCACCAGCAGCTGGAGCCACCGCACGCAGCGATCTCGCGGCTTCAACTGCGAACGTCCGGGCGGAAGATGGGCAGACTGTTTAAAATACAGGTAACGGACGCTTCGGCGTCCAAACAATGGCTGAGCTCAAGCCCCTGAAATAACTTCGGGGCGTTCCTTTTCCCTCAAAAACGTTCACTTATCCTGTCTGTCTGTGTCTGTCTGTCTCTCTCTGCCTCTCTCTGTCTCTCTCTGTCTCTCTCTGTCTCTCTCTGTCTCTCTCTGTCTCTCTCTCTCTGTCTCTCTCTCTGTCTCTCTCTCTGTCTCTCTGTCTCTCTCTCTGTCTCTCTGTCTCTCTCTGTCTCTCTCTGTCTGTCTCTCTCTCTCTGCCTCCCTCTGCCTCTCTCTATCTCTCTGTCTCTCTCTGTCTCTCTTATGTTTCTCGCTCTTACTTGTGCCTTTTCTTTATTCTCTACACTTCTGCTTAAACCATCTCTTTCACACGCTTGAGTCATAGAAGTCGACGGCCCTGCAGGAATTTCTTGCGTCCGTCAAAGCAAAGTGCTCAATGCATGCACCACCCCACAGCCCTCGCGACCCGCCTGTGACTTCCCTGCGAGAGCTGCTCGCTCTCCACAACACGCCGTGTATTTCCAAGAACTCTCATTTCATTGTGCATTCAAACGCACAATCACTCCTTTGCCATCACTCTGAGATTCAGGAAATTGTTAAGAAACATAAATTTCCCACACTTGTCATTAGACAAACATGGCTCAAAAATCCTTAAATTCTGAAACCGTTGAAGTCCCCGATAAAGTCCCCGCTCCTTTGCCATCACTCCAAGATTCAGGAAATTGTTAAGAATCATAAATTTTCCACACTTCTCCTTAAGCAAATATGGCCCAAAAAATCGTGAAATTCTGAAACCGTTTAAGTCCCCGGATACCGTCTTTGAAGATCTGGTAGAAAATCTAGCGATCCTGCCACAGTGGCGACGGTATTTATTATTTACATTATTATTTACATGGCGGCCTTAACTAAAAACTTATTCTTTCATCTACAAATAATAAAGGCCACTTCACTGAATACTTAATTGCTGAAGTTAATCTTGCAACAAAAACTTGGCGTAGTTGGCGGTAGTTTATTTTTCTTCCAAATTAGGAAACAGCCACAAACACACAAAATAGGATATAAGATTAGGACAGTAGAAATGGACTACATGAGACAGTGCCTACGACTTACTTGCAGAACCAGAGTGCGAAATGAAGAAAAATGGAGAAGGATGAATGTTATTTGTTATATTAGCAAGTTCTTGGAAAATAGAGCATTTGAAAATATGGACATGTTCAGAGAATGTCTGGAAGCATACGAGATCGAAAATATAAGGGCAGAGGCACTGGTGCGGACGATCTTCTGTGGCGCTGTTTGATTTCAGGTGCAGAGGAGGCCAAGCACTGGAAGGAGACGGCGGGGCGCCCGCGCCAGAAAATAAATAGTTAAAATAAACGTCGGATGTATTCGGCTTCTGACGGCAGGTTTTTCCCTCTTCAGGGGTTTTTTCCTGAGCCGTACCTTAGCCGTACCTGAGCCGTACCGGTCTCTTTTCCGCGGCTTTGATGCGATGGAGAGACCATTTGGGGTAAATACCAGAATTCGAAAGATTAGAACGCGAAAGGATGTAGGTATTGTAATGGCTTAAAGGCCTTCGGCCTAGCCACATAGGATCAAGTAAGCTAATTTGTCTGTAATAATTACCTATTAAATAAAATAATAAATAATAAACATTCGAGTACACAAGATTTGAAAGTGGCAACCACCTAAGAGGACATAACGAGGAAGACTCGTTTTAGAGTGGGAAAAAGACATCCAGAAATCTATAGAGAATAGGACCAAGCTATAGGATCTCAAACCAGGAGATTGGGTGGATCGAGAGTTGTAGAGGATGGAAACGGCAAGCTCGTAAGGCGAAAATGCCGAACAAGAAGATGATGAAATTAGGAAACATGCGAAGTAGACAATTTTCTCGCTTCCTGTGTCAGTAACGTATTTTTATAATGGGTGAATTCAATGGTAATTTTTGAAAACGTCTACTTCATCCGACAATTTTGATCGATTTTTCGTAACACGAACCTAACGATTTTGTGGCAATTCTTCTTGTGATTTTGTGGCAAGGCTTCCTCTCCCACCAATCCCATCCTCACTCTTAGAACTTCTGTCGAATTTTTGAGAAACTCTTTCCGCTGATGGCGGATGTATGTTTCTTGAATGTTCTCTTATTGTGTACCATCGAATTAATTGTTTGAAAGTTGTCGAGGAGCTGAAGGCCTGAGACTCACCACCAATAAAGAAATTTATTTATGATCACAGAGCCCTACAAAACAGGTACAAAAGAATAAACTGATTTTGCAGACACTTTACACATTTCTTGAAACAGCTGCTGTCATAAAAAATAAAAGTCGATACTGAACTTTGCGGCGGCGGCGATGGTGTAACGGTTGTTATACCCACGTACTAATGGTACGGTTGTTATACTGGGCTGTTATACCCAAGTTGGCGGGTTCAAACCCGATCGAAGCCGTGGATTTTTAAGGAAAAATCCTTCATACGCCTTCCTTCGGAGGGGAAGTAAAGCCGGCTGTCCCATGTTCGTAGATTTACTTGCATGTAAAAGATCCTCAAGCCTAAATGACGCCTCTGAACTAAATTCAAATCGCCTGTTTCTCGCCCAAGAAATACCTCCTTCCTCCGCTAGTTGGTGAACGGAGCGTAGCGAAATTTGCGTGGTCAGACGGAAGAGCAGCCCTAATGGCCTGAGTCTCGCCACGTAAAATAAGGCATCAATTCGATTCAATTAAACTGTTGAATGTATGATGAGGTATTCTCTTTATAAGAATTAATTTCATACAAACTTATCTATTGCGTTCCAGTTACATTATTTAAATGATAAAAAGTGATAAATTTGTAATCTGATTTTTATGCATTTGTAAAGCGATATATTTGGTGGCCCTCATTTCTGAATATTTAATTTATACTTTTCTTTTTTTGTAAA